TCAGGATCACGGAGCCTGCACTCTGAACAAACCTATGTGAGGTACACATTCCAGTGTTTACATCTTTTTCAACAACAGTGACCTCGAAAATTGGAGTTTATCAACAAATGAGTTATAAATGACAAAAAAAAAATAATTCAAAACAGTATATAAAAAATGTAAAAGGGGGGCCTTTTTAAGATAATTCATTATGGCAGCCATGGCGGCTATGTCCCGGAATGATGCTAGATTTGTATTGCATTTTAGGAACCATAGGCGGAAGGAGCTGGTCAGACGAAACCACCCAGCAGGCCCTGAAAGTGCGACTTGCTTGTGGCAACACGTGGCTACGACGTCGTCAAAGAGCTGTTCACCCCTCTACCAAGTGAGCGCACCCTTCAGTGACGCCTTATAGACAAAGTTCCTCCCAGGCATACTCCATGAGGTCCTTCAATCCCTTGCACTAAAAGTCGAGTCCATGACGGAGGTAGAACGGATGCATGCCTCATGATTGATGAAATGAGCACAACTCCTGGACTGGATTACGACAACTCCACCAAGCGTATAATTGGAAGTCTAACAATACAACCCGCATCTCCCGCGTCAGAAAAATCTCCACTTGCAACGCATGCCCTTGTTATCATGTTTGAGGCATATCGTCACGGTGGAAGCAAACCGTCGCCTACCATTTCACGGGTGCTTTGTGCAACGCAAAAGAGGTGAAGGATGTCTGCTTTGGCATTATCAAAGAATCAGAGAAGATTGGCATCAAGGTGGATGTAATGATTTCTGACATGGGAGGAAACAACCAAGCGCTCTGGAAAGCATGTGGCATCGTGTGCGGCAAACACTCTCGCCTACGCAACAGTTGCAATCATCCCTGTGGTGGAGGACGACAGCTTTTCTTCATGGCTGACACTCACGTATCCTGAAAAATTTACGAAACCACTTCACGAAAAGGCACATCACCCTCATACCGGATGAGTACGTACAGAAGTACAACCTTCCGACACGTGAGGTTTCCATTTCGGCAATCAAGGAGCTCCACGAGATCGACACCGAGAACAAGCTCAAGCTGGCCCCGCGCTCCAACGAGAGGTGCCTGGATCCCTCTCATTATGACAAGATGAAGCTTGGCCTTGCCTGGGCGCTAGTTGACCACAGTGTGGCTGCAGCCATCAAGTGCCTAATGGAGCAGGGAGACATGGAAAAGGAAACGCTGACCACTGCATGGTTCATTGAAAAGGTAAGTACTGCATTTGACGGCCAAGTCCATGGATTCTCAACAAATAATTCCGTCTCGGTAACTATGGCAAATTAATGAGCACAGCAAAGGTAGCAGAGAAAAACTATTTGGAACAGTTCTAAGAAACAACCTGGCTCCTACTCATTTGGCACTGCAGATTTCTTATGTGCAATGTGGTTAAATGCACACTTATCGGTCGAACCCTGTAACAAGTACTTGTCTAAAACCGTTGGACAGCTGGAACGAGCAAGTGCGTCTGAAATCTCAGGTTAGGCATGGATCTTCACTTCAACATTGAGATACTTAGACTTAATTTTCGCGAAAATCTAAATTTTGCGAATTTTATGATTTGAAAACAATTGCGAAAAATTGGTCTTGCGAATAATTCACTGCATGGTAATGAATACGTAGCATACTACCCTAAATTGCAAAAATTTGTGCCCGCGAAAATTCTTTAAAACCGGCACTCCGAGAGTTTTGCGAAATATTGAGCTCGCAAAAATAAAGTTGTTCACAGTATTTAATACAACCATCCCTATTAAATGGTAAAAGAAAATTCGGGGGTTCACACGCCGAACCAACGAGGGCATGTGGCACATTACAGCAGTGGACTAAGGATTAAGTGCGACCACCGGGGAATCTTGTGACATCCAACCGAAATCTCGATTACATAATTAAACACTATGCCTTCTTATGTAAGAACTATTTGTTTCTCGATTTCAGGTCTTCAGATGGTTTAAACTGATGACTTCAAAGACGACGCAGTAATGAATGGTCAGGGAGAAGAAGTACACGACGATGACATTGAGGTCCTGCATGAAATGATCTCCCTTTTCCAGCACGTTGCAATCAACAGCACTCGCAAAACTTGGAAGCCTGTGCAGTCCGGGCTTGTCCTAACAACGACCACGGCACTGAAAATGCAAGACTTGATTCTGCAAGACAAGCCCTTCAAATATTTGTTTCTGAGCCGTTTCACGCAGGATGCTCTGGAGAATCTTTTCTCAACCATCAGAGCTAAGAACCCTGTGCCACGAGCAAGAGACTTCAAGATGGCCCTTCGCCTCATCGCCATGTGACAGTTCTTCAGGCCAAGTCGCTCTGGGAGCTACGACGTTGATGATTCGGCGTACCTGGCACAGTTTGTGGCCTCACAGCCCGCAGAAGCACCTTCAGAGGAGGAAGATGAGATGCCCAACTGGGACCAGTACAAAACCATCAGTGACGACGAGCAGCAGTCGCTCTTTTACCTGGCTGGGTACGCCGTTCGTGCTGTTAAGAAAAAGCACAAGCTATTCGAGCAGTGTTTAGCCGCAGTGACGGATTCTGCTGCCTCTCAAAATGCCAGGCTGTGCCAGTTGAAGTGCTACGTAAGAGACGGCAGCAATCAAGAATTGGTAATGCCATCCCCCGACGTCTTCGTGCTACTGCTTGTTGCAGAAGGAGAGTTCCGCAAGCACGAAGATCTCATCATTGCACCGAAAAAGACCCTCGACGATGTACATCAGAGCACTGCAGCACTCATGAAGCAGCTCCCGCTGCCAAAATGCCACAACCTTGCACAGAAGCTAGTAAGAGACGCCCTCTAACTCGGCCGTGTCCGAATCGCTGCAGTTATCCTGGTGGCTGCCAGGTAAAGCCACTGGTAAATCTTTAAAAGTCACATGCATTCGAAAATAAAGCGTCATCATGCTGTGGTCACGCTTCACCGGCAGGCAAAGAGTGTTTAGCTATAGAGGCGCACAGCGGGATGTAATAGAGCGAAGCTTACCCTGGAAGAGCACAGTAGAGTTTAGCATGGATAAGCAACCACACAGATAATGTGCCTCCCTAAGCTAAACAGATTATGTGCTTCACAGTCCTTATCACCATGATAAAGCTTTCCTAAATTTTTGTGCATATTCCAACAATACCACACTCGGCCGTCTTCGACATCCAAGTCATCACCTAAGACAATGTTGTCCTGAACAGCAACGTTGAAGACATTAATGTCGTCGTCTACATCTTATGTGTGCTTTACAAGACCTTAAACAGTGTCGGGGTCAGCGTAACTATCCAGTGTGTCGCGTTTCTCATAAAAACGAGCCCTATAACAGATTGCGTAATAAAACGTTAGTCGAAAGCTTTATTGAACACTGTGCAACCTTCGAATCTTGATGCCCTTGTCAACATATATCCCTGGGCTTCCTGATTCGGCGAACCCGCATTCGGTCTGTCTCTGTTCAGAGCCTCATGAGTCCGTACTCTTACCCGAGTCCTGGACCTGCCTAGCGTCCAGCTCTGAAATCTTATTTTCTTCTCAGCACATGTGCACGGGGAGATTTTGCAGTTATAGTCCTTCAAGAGCGGGAACATCGCAGGTGTGATACACACGCTGTAGAAGCGCCATGGAAGCTGACTGCCAGATGACTTTCTGAGCAGTGACAAAACACAGCTGTGGAGACCTGTGCGTGCCAAAGTGATAGTTCTGTTAGCATAGTATGTCGATAATTACTCAAATCAGTACAGAAAAAGAGAATAACGTTTATTGATGAAGGGAAACACGCACGAAGATGATGTATCAGCATATTTCCAGCCAGCTTTTCAGGGGCCGACCGCATCACATCAACATAACCCACCCTTTTTAGATTATGGGAAATCTTGCACAGATAGGGTATTATCACGACATTCTTGTTTTCCTTCCTTCGACCCTCTATTCGATCACTACTTTTACCTTTTCTGAAAAAAGTAAGTACAAGTTGCTTGGAATGTGCAGAAGGATAAATTCAAATCCTAGAAGGAAATGTAACTGCACGAAAAAAACATAAAACCACTTTGTTGAATGCGTGGATGGGGGGTGTTCTATCCCATTATCGCGTGGGCGATATGTAGGACAGAGAGCTCGTTATCTGGACTACAAATAGCAGGAGCACCGTTACGATGTATAATTAGATTGAACGGGACAGCTTGGTGTACCCGAAATCAAACTTGTCTAGAGCCGTCTAAGGAATTCTGACCCAGAAAAGAACTAATGGCTGATATCTTTGTGACATGTATACCTGAAATAAAGATACGGGACATCTGCAATGCGACAGAAAGAAGACGTCTAACTTAAAATTAGTGGAACATTGTGCACGAAAACGTGTAAAAACATAAAAATGTGCCCAGAGTAGGCTTAAAGTTTGCTCTAGACAAGTTTGATTGTGGATGTACATTGCCGGGACTGCTGTTGCGCCCATACTTATTTTTGAGGATAGTGCAGTGCTTGACGCAAATGAAGACAAAACAATTCAAGAAAATATGGATGCTCACGAGATAGAACTATTAGGGCGACAATCTGTCAGCACGCCCTCACTGGCGTTGCCCGGTAAAGAACTGCTGTCCCTTGGCCAAGGGAGAGAAACGCGCAACAGTGGTGTTCTAGATGAGTGACCTCTATGTTTTGATCCTTTTAGTTTTCTTAATTTTTTTCATAGCTTGTTTTATTGACGTCGGTGGCTAACAAGATTGAAGTTTCAACATTTTTGTGAAACCAGAGACTGAGCTTAACAAAAGACGATGACATAAGAAGAGAAGGAGAGTATCAAATTTCGGGAGTGTACTTAATGTTAATCTTTAACACAATATTGAGACTCCCTCCTTCTCTTCTTGTGTCATCGTCTTTCGTATATACCTCAGTCTCTGGATTCAACAAAATCTTTAGTGCACACCAATTCACTTGCGCCCTTACGTTCTGTTCGTTAAAGCTTCAGCTGTAAGTAGCGTCATGTTTGTGTCCTTCCTTCTTGCTCTCGTCTGTGTGCTGTATTTTATTGTTACTGCTCTGCCGTAACCGCGAACTGGTCACAGAGCACAATAGACTTACCTATATGTTCCACTGAGACTCCGTTATTCGTTGAAACAGGTTGAGCACTCGTTTGTTCACTTGCGTTCTCCCATTTTTGCCCTTGCTGCCACGGTCAGGATTGATGCCGAAAAGTGCCCTGAATGTTAAGCGTTGGAAAATAAAACAAGTCAACAAACAAATTCAACATATGTGAGATTTCGACCTATTCTAATAAATAATAAACTACTTTGCTCTTTGAATCCCTCTACCATATTTAAGGAAGCTTGCGGGATTGTACATATTGGCGCCCTGCGTGAATGCCGATTTCATTATCTGCATTCATTAGAGTTTGAATCCACATCCGCAATTTTTTCGATCATTTTATCTACACCCGAACTGCGTCAGCAGGAATCAGAACCGCATACGATTCGTAATCCACACATTCGTCACACATCACTGCGTGACGCACGTTAAAGGCCCCAGGCTAGCGGTCGTTCAGCACTGACTACATTGTTCATCTACAAAGTACAGACATGTCGCATCATTTGAATGGCAGACAAACATTGAACTGTCTAACTATTCCCACACAAATCTACCAACTCAAGCATGAATGATAAAGAAGGTATATAATCAATGGAAATCCTACTTTATAAGTCGTTTGTTTTTATTTCCTTCGATACAAAATCTAGTCCAAAATCTAGTAATACTATGAAACTGTATGTAACATCTAAACAATGAGCTTTACTCTTCATGCCGCCACAAAGATTGTGACCTCTAAGAGAGCACGAGAGTGTTTCAAACCAGGGGATGTGTTCAAGGAAGCTTGAAATTTGCATTTTTAGCTGCGGGTATGCAAGGCACTTTCGACGTGCATCTGATCCACATCCGCAGCACATGGCATCTGCATCCGACCCGCTACCCACCAAAACTGATTCACGTTTATCTGCATCCACCAGCTGACCGCGGACATGAAGGGCTTTACATACTGTTATATTTCTGCTTATAATATTAATACTTTGCTTTTTTTATATTTAAACAATTGTGCGACAGGAAGTATACAATATTCGCGAAGAAGCAACGTGGTATTCTTGGGAAAGAGATAGAAGTCTGTACAGGAATGGAGAGATCCTGAATGTGTTTTAACAAAGTTAAACGGGCGGGATAAGTATTACCCCATGATATAACCCAGTATGTGAAATGACTGTGATTAAAAACATAAACAAAAATTGAGATAATGTATTAAAATAGAATGTGTCTTTTCATAGGCCGTAAGCTGTTTTTCATTTCAGATGCAAGAAACTGCACGGTCGTAAGTTTTAAGTTAGAGTCGAGAACAACCTAAAAAGATTTAGTGATTAATGACACAAATTGAATGAGTGACAAAAGCAATCGCAAATATATATATGGGATGCGTGACATTTAAATTAAATCATAAATGGTGTATTGGCTGAATTTATTTTCACACAATAAGGGCAGCACCATTTCAAAAAATGTTAATAATGTAAGCGTGAAGTTTTTGGGTTAGGAAATTAATTCTCTAGACAGTACTATGTACAGAAGTGTTATCAGCATTAAGGAACACTTGACAGTGTGTAAAACGGGGCGATAATTGAACTCTGAGGTACACCTGTTTTATATCTGTCCAAAATAAAAAAGTCAGAAACATAAACCTCAGCTTGTTTGTTAAATAAATAACTTTTAATTCTGTGTGTGCTTGGGACCACCAATCATATTACACCAAGTTTAATTTTTATAATACTGTGATTAAATCAAAAGCTTTTCTGTAATATTAAACAGATTGCCAAAATAGTTTCCTGTGTCTATAACATTTTTGATGTTGTCAGTAAGCCATACAACTGTTAGGTCAGTAGGGCACCAGCTCGAAATCTGAACTCATGGGGTGATAAAACGGCCAAGTTAGTGAAATTTTTGGTTCTGAATTTTTCAATGTTCTTGGCAGAAGCGGCAACTCAGCAGCCTTTTATAAGCCGCTGCCATGAAGGTGTAAACTTTAGACTACACATGCCTCAAAAAGGGCATCCAATCGAACTTTGCAAGGTGCCTTGTTTTGCTGAGATCAGTGGTGTTCATATGCCAGCTCTAATAGCAGCTCAATATACTAAACACACAGCAAGGTTTGCAAACCAAATTACACAAATATGTATACATAAGAAATTAAAGGTACCTCTGGATGAACTCAAGCGTAGATGAGACTTCTTGGGCGTAGCAAATGTGGAATGAAAAGTAGCTGGCAAACAGCATGCGGAGGGCGACGTCGAACTCTGGTGCAGTTGCCACAACGTGCCCATCAAGGAGCAGCATATATTCTTCTGGAGACCAGATGTCATCTCCTGGATGTATTAAAGAAAAATAAAAGACTTCTGTAGACACACTAGCACATATTTTTCTATGTATATCTGGACTGATAAACTTTATATTTATGAACTAACTTGGAACACAAAAATGAACAATAAATCGGAGATTGACTGAATAAGCAGCCTTTCATAAATAAAATATTAATAAAAAAATACAAACAAAAATGGGAAAATGCCTCAATAAGCAGCCTTTAACAAATTGATATTAAAATCAGGAGTAACTTGCCAACAGAATTTGAGAGTTCTGAACGATTTTCTAATAAGTACATCACTACATGTATGCATATGATTAGATCTGCAAAATGTGACAACATTAATTATCAAAGCACAGTTACCTTGTAGTAACTGTTAGTGCAATGTCTGCAAGGATCACTATATGTATTGTGGAGATCTGGCTGCCCTCTCCCGCGCCGACCCTTCGGACCCTAATTTCCGACCTCCGAGATACGTCATGCCTCGGGGCAGCGGCCATGGCCTCGCGTACCAGAGATCCGGGTACGGCGCTCCCCTAGGCCAACTGACGTCACGCGACTGGCTTCCCAAGACAAAGGGGTAAAGGCTTGAAAAGGGAAAGGCGGACAAAGGAAGGCTCTCTCTTGGACGGCAGCGCCCTTGGACGGTGACGCTCTCTCGAACGGCGGGACACGAAGTATGGTTGCAGCGGTGACAAGGAGACGAGAATGCTCGCGCGGGATTTGGCGGGAGACGGACGCAGGCGCGGGGAAAGTGCGCGCAAGACGTTGAGTGGCGGACTCGACGGACGAACCGGACTGCGACCCTGGACGACGACGTCCCCATGACGAGGAGTGAATGACCACCGCTGGGACTAGGAGAAGCTGCAGTGGCAGCGGACTTTCCCCCGGCCTCGCCGATGACCGTTCACTGATCCCGAAACCCCCCCCCCCCCCCCCCCCCCCCAAGGCAATGAGTGAGTGAATAAACCCGGTTACAGTTGAAAACGAGCGTGTTGGTTAATAGATACAAACTTGAAAGTATAAAACAGAGAGGACGAGGACGGGAACAGGACATCTTTCATTGACCGAAGACACGCAGTTGGGGTTTGGACGAAACATGGCTCGAAAAACTTTGTCGGTTACAGTTGAAAACGAGCGTGTTGGTTAATAGATACAAACTTGAAAGTATAAAACAGAGAGGACGAGGACGGGAACAGGACATCTTTCAAAAAAAAAAGGGAAAGATGTCCTGTTCCCGTCCTCGAATTGGAGATAGCGGTGCCCACGTAGAAAAGGTGAATAGCACTCTGAATGATGGTTGTACATCAAGCATTGCCAGGCGCACAAGCACATAAAGCAATTCATAATGCATGCACATAAATACTGTTAGTTTGAACTTTTTCAGGGTCAAATCACTGTCAATTACATCAACTACTGAATAAATTCCTGCATGGTAATGACTGTTGGTCTTCTTCAATGGAACGAGACCGCGCCAAAATACCTACATTGACCGCTGACTTCCTAAAATAAGCCTTAAGTTGGTTTAGGTGATTTTTTTCGTTAAATATATTGATACAATCTTTCTGGCGAAGGGTCACTTTGTAAGAAAATTATTTTTTTCATACATAGACATTTACACACCGTGAGAAGCTTACTGTAACTGACCGATAATTTGGGAAATAATTTGTTGCGATTGACTTAATGATTAATATATGAATTCAGCTCCACGCTAAGTACATGACCGGTACAGGTAATTATGGAATTAAAATACTTATACAAATTAAATGAGAGAAATGTCACGTCTGACCAGATCCTTCGCCACCAGCATCTCCTATGACAAAGTAATTAACGTTTTTTTCTGTGATGAGTACGAGTGAACAATTTTGAATTAATAAAGGAAAACTTTAACCTTGTAATGATTCAATATAGTGGATAATTCTGCCTCACAATACTTAGGCGCAAAAATCTGCCATAAGTGTTTCTTACAAGATATTGCTTTAAAAAAGAGGCGCATAATGTAGTACATGTGTCCAAACAATTTCACCAATCTTACCAGCCGCAATGATGCAAGGGGAGAGTGGAGCATCTGGCCGTCTTTCTATCTCGTCTGAGGTTAGGCAGGCCTGAAAAAAGGGGAGAGAACACTGCTCAGTTCCAGGAAAGATCTGGCCAGGTTTACAGAAGATGTTAAAACTTTCACTTGACACTGACAAAAAGTACTTCTCTATTAGTTCAGCACATAGCATTTTAATATTGTTCATGGTGCTAAGTAACTGTTATTAGTGATAAATTGGCATGGAAATGCTGTACGCATTAGTGCACTTGAGAAATACAGGGCATTTTATTGTTCACTATGAATTACCTCTCTTGTTTGAAGTATTCCATGTGGGTGCTCTCCAAACCAGGCTGCGATCAGCAGGACAATTTCAAGCAGCTCAGAATGTGGAGATGCTGCATTTTTCATTGCTTTCCAAGCCGTCATAACATTTTCCTTGTCAAATCTTTCCTTTCAAAAAACTGCAGAATTGCACTTTTCTCATCTTTGAGTGAGCTTTGCAGTGTTTCAGCTAGATCTATTCCAAGCAGAATCTTCATGTGACCTTGAAGGCCATCAGCTGTGAACAAGAAGGGCCAATCATCCTTCAGCTCCAGAATGGACGTGCCTGCCTTTATTTCTTGTTGTTGCAGTGTGTGTGTCGAGGACATGAGCAGATGCACATCTTCTTCGTACGTGGTACCAACTTTGAACATCGCCTGCAGGGATGCTTTTTCTCTTTTTTTTGTTGATTCATCATCTACTTGAGTACTCTGTGTTGCGTATGCGATACAGCTTCATCTCTTTCTAGCACACTGGGCCGCAGGCTCCTGTTGCACTCGTGAGTCGTCCCTCTTTACGTTGTCGAGTCGACAAACCAACTGGTTTAACAGAGAGTCGTAACCACTACCGATTAGGGTGTCATCAAAAACGTCTTTGAAAGGAGATGGGTATGCTTCGACTACTTTGCTAGCTATGACGGCAAGACGCTTCCGAAGAGGCTTTGCGCACACCTTCTGCACACACTCGATAAGTATTCTGACCATCTTTCGGCGGTCTTTAGGCAGTGGGCGCCTGCCTTCCTCGATAGCTGTGAGAAGGGTCCTTGGCATCAGACTCCGAGTCAAGAGGTCCAACGAGTCAAAAGATCCAACGCGTCAAAAGATCCATTATTGGACCTTCTGACTCGTTGGATCTTTTGACTCGTGGACCTCTTGACTCGCTGAGGATCTTTCGGCTCGTTGAATCTCTTGACTCGTTGGACCTCTTGACCCACATTGGATCTCTTGTTTCGTGTTTGGCGAGTCAAAAGATCCGTTATTGGACCTTCTGACTCGTTGAACCTCTTGACTCTCTGCCCTATCACTGGGGAAGGGTGAAAGGGCTTTGAAGAAGAGCAGGAAAAGCAAGAAAGGCAAAAGTACGATGAATGGCGGCTTTCGGGTGACAAGGTGGATTCCGAGTCAAGAGGTCCAACGAGTCAAAAGATCCAACGCGTCAAAAGATCCATTATTGGATCTTCTGACTCGTTGGACCTTTTGACTCGTTGGACCTCTTGACTCGCCGTGGATCTTTTGACTCGTTGGATCTCTTGACTCGTTGGACCTCTTGACCCACATTGGATCTCTTGACTCGTGTTTGGCGAGTCAAAAGATCCAACGAGTCAAAAGATCCATTATTGGACCTTTTGACTCGTTGGACCTCTTGACTCCCTTCCCGATCACCGGGAAAGGGGAGGAAGGACTTTGAAGAAAAGCAGGAAAGAAAGAAAAGCAAAACTACAATGAATGACGACTGTCGAATGGCAAAGAGGGGCGTGACGGTCACTGCATTGCAGCGGGGTCGGATCCCGCGACTATTAACAAAGCAATAAAAAAGAGGGAGTTAAGAGAAGAGGATACAGTGGCCTCAGGGATGAAAAGTTTCAGGATCCTGAATGGCTGGCTGTGTCACGGCGTTGTGCATTTTCCATTTCAATCGGCAGGTGGCCAACCCATTTATTCGTGCGGTATGCTTGACTAACTCAAGAATTTCCCGAGAGTTATGTACGCTACACGGTCGTAGGGACGCAGATTGTTTCTCGAATTTAGAAATCAACGAACAGTTAATCGGTGACTGAATTACGAGGCACGTATGGACCAACACGCAGTGCTGACGTCCCGCCACTGCGGTGGCGCTGCTATTGGTATTGCGTTTGCGCACACACAAACGGTCCACTTGACGCACTTCCTGCGCACGGCACCATGACAGAACAGCACACGACAAAACAGCACGCGTCAAAACAGCACGGTCAAAACAGCACACGTTAAGACAGCACACCGTCAAAATAGCGCGCCGACAAAACAGCACGTGTCAAAATAGCAGGCGACAAAACAGCACAGCGCCAAAACAGCACAGCGACAGAAGAGCACGTGCCAAAACAGCACGGTGTCAAGACAGCACAGCGTCAAAACAGCAGAGCGACAAAACGGCACAGCGTCAAAAAGGCACAGCGACAGAAAAGAACGGCGTCCAAACAGCACAGCGTCAAAACAGGACATTGACAATATAGCTTGGGTTTGACGTTTTCGGTTTATATAATTTTGAAGCTCGGCGTACTTTTTTCGTTTTTTTCATTCTAAACAGAATTTATCGGTTTATTGCGGCGAATATTTGCAGACTCACAAACTTCTCGGTTCTTTCGGTTTATTGACGAAAACCTGTATGCTGACGAAAATGTAATATTTAAAAGCGTTTGTTTGAATTGTATATTGAGTAAACCTGGTACTGGTTTTCTTATTTGTTGCTGTCTGGCAGCCGACGCGACCTGTTCTGCAAGACTCACTGAAGCCCTATCGTGATCTGACATTATTATCGTGTGCTCGTATTTGTACACAGGTCGAACATAAACTTCACTACCACTTCGGTCGGAGAGGCAAATATCAAAAACCAAAAATTTGCAAGCATTGTACTCAGTGAGTTTTTTCCCCAATTTCACGACTTCGAGAGTTGGTAAATTCGCGGAGACCACAGAAACGGCAATAAAACAATCGTATTTATGCCCTCCTCTAGTAGACGGAAGCTAGGGGTGTTAAAAAATGTGCGGCAATTACGGATGCCCTTTAATTTTATTGTTCAGCTCAGGATTAAACTCTCTTCTTTGAGCAAAGAATTCGGCACACAAATCCCTATCAGGTGAAAAACCCAGATTTCGGCCTGAAAACCCCTGCGCCCGGAGCTTTTGTTGAAAGTTGAGCCCATCTGGGAGACAAGATGAAAACGGCGAAAGGAAGTAGTTATATGGTCAATATTGAGCCCCCCCCCCCTCCCCCCTCCTCCCTCCCCCCCTCCCCCCCCCCCCCCCCACACACACACACATTCCTCCAAACGCCCTAGAAAATACTCACCTTTTTCAGTTAAAATCGAATTTGGAAAAATGAATTCGGTGAACTTTTATAGGTTTTATTCACTTTAAGGCGAAAACGCTGAACCCTAAATATAGCGTTTGAAGTTAAAAAAGGCATCTTCCAAGGTATGCACTGAAAAGGAATGGAGGGTCTGACCAATTCGTGGAAACCCAACTCGTCAACGGCCAATTTGTCGGATACGTTCTCTTCGGAGCAAGTTCGGAGTGGGGAGTATACTCGATGCGCACATGAAGGTTCCGTATGGGCAATACCGAAGCCCCCGCTAGTGCGTATTCTGGCTATTTCTCGAGCAGTTCACTGATTTTGACGCGCAAGTTTACTGGTGATGTCGCCGACAATAAACGAATCAATCGCATGGCAATGTGCTGTCGTTAGTTGTTAAAAGAAGAAAAAAAAAAAAAAGAAAGGCTGTGCGACAACGGTGTGCTGTGCTCAGCCCATGCTGTACGGCAACAGCATTGAGGCTGTGGCACGTATCTGCTTCACCGGTTTCCATTCGATTGATGCCTTCGTCGGCAATAATCTGTGAATTTAACTCAAAAGAACTTATCGCCTAGAAGCTGCAGGCGCGTGTTTTCGGGGCATTTTATTCACGGGGAATGAACTTCGCCGAATCGGTGCCCGTGATACACTTTGAATACGCTCAACATTAAAGTCACCTTATCTTACCGGTTCTAAAAATGCATCTGTAATCGGCATCTCCCGCTTTTTTCTTTTTTTAGGGGGGGGGGGGGGGAGGGGGTTGTTTTACGCTTAGGTGGTAATTACAAAACGACGAGTACTACGGAACCTCACCGGACCGCCGCTCAACATAGCGTTTCCTTTTTCGATGGTTCTACAAAAAAGACCAGAGAGCGCGGCCTACATCGACGCGAAGATATCACCTCTAACTATCCAATCTCTTCAGAGATCACCGTAGTTAAGTAGTAGTAAGTACTGCTACCTTTATTTGTTTTTAGCAATGACACAGCAGCAGCACTCAGAACACTGACTTGAGTGCGATCCCGTCGCCGCCAACGTATACTTTTTTTTTTTAATTGTTTCTCAACTAGCTGTTAAATAATGCCATACAATGTCCAACCCCTTTCGTTTTCGTTCCGTTTTGTTTTCACAAAACGCTACATATTACAGCCTTTTTAACGCTCAGCACTGACGGATCAAGATAATTATTGCGCAGAGAGAGGTGAAGAGCGCGCGCGAAGTTGCTACGTGAGTGCTGTTTTGTCGCTATGCTGTTTTGACGCCGTGCTGTTTTAGCACGTGTTCTTCTGTCGCTGCGCCGTTTTGACGCTGTGCTCTTTTGTCGCGTGCGATTTTGACGTGTGCTGTATTGTCGCCGTGCTGTTTTGACGCTGTGCTGTTTTGACGCTGTGCTGTTTTGACCGTGCTGTTTTGTCGCGTGCTGTTTTGTCGCGTTCTGTTTTGTCGTGTGCTGTTCTGTCGCGTTCCCCCTGCGCACGTGCAGTACCCACATCTCGTGCAGAAACTGCGCCTTTCCCCACAGCTCGTGAGGGCTTGTATGGAAACAGCGCGTTGGTCTCATACGCAGCATGAGCTGAACTGGGAGGGAGAGTTATGTAAATCATTTGGACAGCATAATGTTTGGCAGCCATCCAGAGGGTCAACATGTAGCAGTATCTTGCCGGTCAGTACAGCATGACTGCTGACTGGCACCATGCTGTACGGAGAACCAGCATCGGCGTGCGATCGTATAGCCACTACTGCGTGGTGCACCTAAAGACCCCAGGCTATACTCCTTATCACTTAAGGATTCACCGCAGCCTTGCTAGAAGCCGAGAGCATCATGGGGCATCTCGCTCCGCGCGACGCCTTGAACACCTTTGTGTTCGAGGCATTTTAGAGTAGAATAAAAACCCTAGTACCCCTTGTCTTGCTGTGAATGCACACGCTTCACTGGCTCGTGTCCAGGTTGAGCAGCATTGATCAAAAGAAATGCACACTTTTATTCGTCTTTCGATGTATCGCGATAGTACGTGCATATATATTATTTTATTTTTTTGGTTTGCATAAAC